TGTGTGAACTGCACTCAGAGTAGCAGGGAAAAAATACTTAAGGAAATGTGTACACACTTTTTACAATTTCGGTTTCACCTTTAAGAGTTATTGAACGAGGCAAGCAAAGGGAAAGCCATACATTTGATTCACGAAAATATTTCATTGCTTGTCTCAAAAAAAAGATTTTTGGCAAAATTGAAGACTAATTCATCATGTAACTTTTTAGCTTATATGCATGCTAAGTACATGGGAAAATGCAGCTAAAGTGTATCAAAACAAGAAGTGTAAATACAAATCCCGTTCATGCGTAGAAGGGACAGTAATTTAGCTTAAGTATACATTGTATTTCTTTATTCTTAAAGGGATATGGCAATATAAAATTAGATTTTCGCATTTGAAAGAACTTTCAAAATTATATGTTAAACTCTTTTACCGTTTTTTTTTATATCTTGCTTAGTTCTTGAAATATTTTGACTTAAAGCAATGAGATGTCGCCATCTTGGATTTTTGCAGATATTGCTTGAAAACCACTGAACCTTATGAGTTGAAAATTATTCTCTGGATACTCTTTGAAATAACAAAATATCTGCAAACATTTTAAACATTAACCACCAAGGGGTCCTTTTATATGGCTAACCCTACTTGTGGCGTCACCTAAAACCAGCATTAATGAGATAAAAAATAATCCAAGATGTCGGACATTCCATTGTTTTCAGTCATTGTATGTAAAAATATTTCCAGAACTATGCAAGATATTAAAAATCGGTAAAAAAATTTAACATATAATTTTAAAAGTTCTTACAAATGGGACAATAAACTTTTATATTGCCATATCCCTTTAAACTTTATTCCGTAATTTAAGGGACTGTATCTTGCATGGCTATTATTCTTACTGGCGAACTTTTATAACTTATTGATAGAAAGATTTAATGTGATAGAAAGATTTATTTGCATTAAATTGTTACCAGTGAAGTGCATCCTTTTCAGTTTTCATGTTTTTATATCTTGTGCATTTTGGCACTTTCAAAGGTGTGTTATATAGCACATTCAAAGGTGTGTTAAACTGGCACGTCTTTTAAGGTGTGTTGTAGTAGCACACTTTGTAAGGTGTGTTGTGTTAGCACATCTTTCAAGGGTGTTGTATTAGCACACCTTGTAAGGTGTGTTGTATTAGCACACCTTGTAAGGTGTGTTGTATTAGCACATCTTTCAATGGTGTTGTATTAGCATACCTTGTAAGGTGTGTTATATTAACACACCTTAAGTTATGCTAACCAACACACCTTGAGGTGTGCTACTATAACACACCATTGAGCAACAATAACACACCTTTGCGTGCTGCCTAACACACCTTTCTTAGTAACCCACCTAAAGGTGTGTTGTTTTGGCGACAAGCCGCTAACACACCTTTTGTTGTGTTACTGTAGCACACCTTGGTGTGTTACCGTAGCACACCTTAAGGTGTGCTGTTTTGGCGACAGAAAAGGTGTGTTACTATAGCACACCTATTTTTAAGAGTGTAGGCTACTCATGTGAAAAGAGTCTGTTAACGCTCTGCCGAAAGTCTTTGGTTACCTTTTCTCCGGGCGCCCCGGTTTCTTTCCACAGGGAATGTTGACAGGGTAGGTTAGGATAAAATAGTCCGCGAGCCGGCGGCGCGAAGCGCCGTGCGAGGGTACTAATTCTCCCCGGCTATTTACACCCGGGGAAACGAAAGCATTAGCGAAGTCTGAAGTTCATCAATAGACAGATTTAGAAAAGACGACGCGACCTCAAAGACGACGTGAAAATGGCGTGTTCTGTCCATATATGGATGTGCCACGCCATTTTGACGCCATTTTCACGTCGTCTTTGAGGTCGCGTCATCTTTTCTAAATCTGTCTAATGAGCACGGGCGTCGGTCACCAACGATGGGTGGTCATCCTCACTGATCTCAAAAATATGGCGGACTTCATGAATAACGGACACTGATTGGTCCAATTTAAAGTTTGCATTATAACGACTGCATGACGACAGCGAAATAGCAAACATTCCTTGATTTGATGAGTTGATGATTGATAAATTTCTTGCAAATATTCTTCATTTTTGCTCGTATTTCTGCAAGATTTTGTAAATTTCAAGAAAGAAAGGGCGAAAGAATCAGCTGAAAGAAGGGAGCCGACGTTAACGAATGTAAGTTTGTTTTAATTATTGATTTTATAATGGCTTTAAAACCAGACAGTCTTTGCGTATATGAAATTAAATAACTAAACAAGACAGCATATAATTTCAGTGTATCTTTAATATTGATTACCTTTTTTATTATATTGAATTTTTTAAATAAAAAATAAAGCAAAGTTATTTGCAAGCGAGAATTTGAAATCATTTTATTGCAAACTCAAAGTTTATCGATAAAGCCATTTAATAGTTAAAGGCAGTTTAGTTTTATAAACACCACTTTAAAACGTTTTGTGAATTGTGCGTTTCTTGTTGAATTTTACCTTAAATTGAAGCTTGTGTTACGTATAATTACATGCCTAACATATGGGAAATTGATAATTTTGTAATTAAAAGTGATATTTTTAGGCGATTTTCATTTGTAAGCATATTCTTAAAAAATTATCGTGTTACCATGACAACTACTTTCGATACTTCATGTTTGGAAAATACAACGGTTTTGTTAGCAAGGCGATGGTTTCTGCATGCATGTATTTTTAGTTAGGAAAGTAATATCACAATTGTTGTAAACTGAATAAATAGTCCAAGCTTAGTAGGTAATATAAGTAAGCGTAATACTTGATGTAATCGGTCACTGAAGAGCCCCGATGGGAAGTGAGCTGAATAATCATAGTAATAATCATGTGTATATAGGAGGTACAACGAGATTTGGTGATACGACAATAGCTGAAAATATATAACTACATACAGTTGCCATGAAAAATATGGTTGTGTATATATATATATATTTAGTATAATTATATAGGTGATTATTGAAAATTCTTCACGCTGATTGGTTGCCGTTGAAGTGATTATACAAAGCGATAATTACCTAAGCGATTTTCAAATTGGCGGCCGAAGCCGCTTTCTCAATTAAATAGCGAAGAAATTAATGCATATTTTTTATTTTTTCCAAATAATCGCCGATGAAATTATACTAAAACAATTATTCACCTCAGGCTGGGTGATTATCATGAATAAAAACCTCGACTTCGTCTCGGTTTTTATTCACCGATAATCTCTTCGCCTTCGGCGAATAATTGTTAATTACACCGTGGATGTTGATTCATATTATGGCTACCCACTTTGCCAGGGACCGTTCGAGATAATAGTTGCAGTTATTATACGCAACGCAAATTATATAGAGCGCAATTAAGATATTTTAACACACTTGACTTTCGTGCCAAGCAACGTCACATCAGGAGGTAGACCTATATAGTGATGTAAGATATACTGCAATAATAACAATAACTAGTTACTGACCTCAATCGTTCGAGAAATCTTGCTGCAAACAACGTTAACAATGGAAGGAATGCATGTGTTGTTTGACGCCGTCATGCCCAAGTTTCTAACCGTAAACAGTTAACAAATACGATTTCAGACTATATGTTGCCATCATATTCTAATCCGTTTCATTTATGTTATGCTTTGTTAGAAACGTACTTTACAATCTTTCCGCAAAATAGGAGTATATATATTGACGCAACTTTTCCAAAAATTTCCTATATATAAAATATTTACTACGAATTTTTACCTAACCAAAAATTGAAACAGTAGTTCCCACCCGAAATCATAAATAGAAATTCATAGTAAACAATGTTAACAAGCGAAGGAAGGAATGCATGTATCGTTTGGTGCCGAAATGCCACCTTTCCGACCGTAAACATGCATTTAAGCAGTCCGTTTTTCGAAATTTTTCAGCCACTTGATGATTCCTCGTGGTGAAACAAGCTGTTGTGGCAACATTTTGATGTTAAAACTACATATCTGCTCTATTTGATATGTGATATCGAGCACTCTTTAGGGGCCAAGTTGGACTAACAGCTAGTTTTCTAAAATGGACTAACAGCAAGTTTTCTTTAATATAAATGAAATTATTAAATACATTTATTAGAAAATATATATAATTGCACAAATTCGACCACAATTTTATTAAAACATATAAAGAAATAAAAAAATAATTTAAATATATACAGGTTGATTCATTAGGCATTTCCTAGGATTAAAATTGTGTGGCAGAGCTCAATGGACATCGAGAACATGATTTGGAAAAGTGTCACGATGTTCCGTTTGGCATCTCAATTACTAATCAATTTAATTTCTCACCACGATCTAAATTAGGCTAATTAGGCTAGTATGACCCCTTGCATAGTTCTTTGTAACATGATACGTTAAACATTATAGTATTATTTTTGGCAAAATCTTGATATAAGATATTTATTTTCGGGTAGGGTTCCCTAAATATAAATACTGCAATTTTGCTCAAGATCTCTATCTGTTAAACTCTATTCTGTTTTCCATCGAGACATGATATAGGTTTTTCGTTCCAATGGTATAGCGAGCTAATTCTACCAATATCCCATGCACGTAAATATTTATCACATCTAGTTTAAATTGTAAAGAAAATTTATTTCGCAGAAAGTCGTATAATCTTTGGACTAATACTGCAATATCGGCAAAAACATTGATCTCCTGGTGAAAAGATGATTGACGTTGACCAAATAATTTGAAACCGAAATATTTCAACAAAGCACTTAGTGTCGTCATTCCAATCGCTATTAAAGTGTACAAGTTTAAATACATGTTCAAACACAACCGGTCACAGAGGTGACAGGCTTAACACAGGACAAGTTTGCACATACCGGCCGACAGTACAAATACAATCCAAATACTACAGTATCATTTAGTTAACACAAGGCTTTTGGAGTGACGTTTGAAAAATATCAAATACCTCTGAAAATGTTAACTTTGGTCGGGATGTTACTGGCGATAATGTCAATGTCCAATGCACAAAAAGCTCGTAATAAAGATGGCAAGCCGTGCACTTGGAGAGTTTTCAAGAATGCTAGTGTGGGTAAGTATTTCTCGTATTTGTCTGGTAAATCGCATGGGTTAGCGCGCTCCGCTTTATTTCTGACTTAAAGTTGCGTGATGTTGGTCGAGTATTAAAATGGGGCATACACTGCATTGAGTTAAGGTACTTGAAAGCTAAGTTTCGGTTAGAGCACGAGAGTAATGTGTTAAATTAAATTAATTGGATCTGTGCACATACCCTTATTCTGCACTGACTTAATCCATGATGCACGCGCGCTGTCGCACAATTACTTCTCAGTTAAAAATGCTACATTAGATTGAGAGCTACATTAGATTGAGATTGAGGTTTAGTGTCTTTCTCTGGGTTTGAAACCATTTTAATAAGTGGAGCTTGGTTACGTCTCTCCCGTTGTTAAGATTTTCCTTCCACATCAGTACGTAAGAGATATTAACAGGTAAAATTGCTGTGCCAGCATATGTAATGGCAATAACACCAGAAAACAGCTAATTGAACGGGATTCAACACCAATCGCTTCTAAAAATTGTTGGGAACATGCAGTTTTAGATTGTAAGTCAATCTATATAATTTTTTATCCACAGTATCGCCCCCTTCCCCTTCTCCCTCCCCAATCAATGTTGCTTTCTCAAATTATGTGTACCAAACAGCGTCGAATCTGACGGGAAATGGTATACACAACAATAACATTGAAAATGAGAGGGGATGGCGTTAGTTGAAATCAAAGATTTTTTGGCATCTGTTCCAAGATATTTGAAACTGATTGTACCTATAAAATGCAACACAACATTTCGAGCATACGGTTTTGTTCGGAAAGTTAGTGAAAATAAACTAAATAGCCTAACTGCACCGTCACTTGTTATTTTATTAAAATTTGTGTCGTACTTATTTCTCTCCGTTTAAAATGTTCACGCCCTAGTAATGTATTCCTAGTATACGCAGGATCCCTCCTATGTTTCTAAGTAAAACTATTACTGGACTTCTATAAGCAGGACACTCGAAAACTGATAAAGCTATTCGTTGTAAAAATGGTTAGTTCACTTTAGGGTTCTTCCTGCGTAACACTGCATCGATAACCAATTAATCGTCCAGGCGAAATAATTACAACTCCGTAGTCACTGAGCCTAACACGAATGATTAATTGATTTAGGTTTACTCTTGGAGGAACCTGTATTAAACTAACCTTATTCATTCTGGATATAGTTCGCCAATTCCAAACGTGCGGTACCCATTCCCCAGGGTCCAGTGTTACAGGGTACAGGTAGCTATAATAAAAAAGCATTAATATATAATTACTTTTAATTAACACTTGATTGTCCTACCCGATTTAAACTGTTTTCCCAGTTATAAAGGTCGATTATGAGCTGTGCCTTACTGCTTCAGTGTCGCTGCGAGAGAAAACCAAACAAGGCTACCTTTTACAACATGAGCTCCACCTTTGAATTTACAAGATGAGTAAATTCTTAAATGTGATCTACAGTCCGTATGTTAACAAAGCCTTTGTTTACATTTTTGTGTCCAAAATATTGAGCTTTATTCGACAACTATTTATATTTTCAAGCTTCTAGAGTATAATAAATGATCAAGAAACAACAATCAGGCTTTTCAAGAACTCAAAACATAGTTAAACTGTTTGTATCATAAAAAGTGGGCTCATTTGTGCACATGCGCAGATCGGACTGTAGATCACCTTTAAGCACTTTCGAATTTATCATTTTGATAAATTCGCGGCACATTTTGAATTTATCAATAGAGTTAATCATAAAACCACAAGGATTAGACAAGACTTTTTGCTATAAATGTAATGGCGCTAAACGCGCGGGGGTGGGGGGTTTTCAAGATTTTCAGAAAAAAGTTTTTAAAAAGTTTTAAAAAAGAAATAAAAGTTTAAGAAGTTAGATTTTCAAAAAAAGTTTAAAAAGTTAAAAAAGTTAGGGTTTGGGTTATTTAGGGGTTAGATGCCGCGAATTTATCATGATGATAATTAAATTCAAAATGTGCCGCAAATTTATCATAACGAAAAATTCGGACGTGCTTAAGAATTAACTCAAATAGTAAACTCAAAGGTGGAGCTCATGCTGACCTTTTAATCTAGACGGCACATCAGTTTTAAGCAGTTCTCTTTTCAGATATACTAAGGGCACTTTTTTGGCTAATCGAAGTTACTACAACCAAGAAGAAATTTAAACTATATTTACTGTAATTTAATGAGCATTTCTATCGGATTTGCCTTGTTCCTCAATCAGTATAGGGATCGAATAAAGCACTGTAATAATTTCATACAACTTCATTTTTTTCACAGGAAACCAAGCACTTCGTCCATCAAGTCTGATATCCAGTCACAATATCATCGGCTTAGAAGAATGCTCCTTCCTTTGTATAACTCAAGACAATTGCTATGGTTTTAACTATCGAGTGAGACCAAGTACTATTTATACCGCAAACTGCCAGTTGAGTAACAGCTCTGTAAAAATGAACAACCTCGAGATGATGAGTGAGCCTTGGGTTTACTATGAGGATGTTTTGGTAAGCATAAATATTACAACAGATGGATAAGCCAGAAAAACGAAGAATTAGGTTATTTATAATTTTCTAAATACACGAAATATATAAAGAAAATAAAGAACATATATATATATATATATATATATATATATATATATATATATATATATATATATATATATATATATATATATATATATATAGTTGGCCTTCAAAACAGGAGCTAGTTTCGTAACATTCACAGCACTTGCGTCATTCCATGGGACAGTCACGGATCCCTCTTATCTAAACGAGCTATTTTAATCAGCGAAATAAACCGTGCTCCTTCCCTTAACTAACCCAACTGTTAGAAACGACTCCTCCCAAATCATTTAGATTGTTGAAAATGTTCTCGAGTGTGTATTAGTAGTAATATAGGTACAATTCGGGCCTTATTTTTGTGGTGGTGGGGGCCGTGGTGGTAGTGGTGTTTGTTGGAGGTGGTGGAGTGCGGTGGAGTGTGGTGGAGTGTGGTGGAGTGTGGTGGAGTGTGGTGGAGTGTGGAGGAATGTGGTGGAGTGTGGTGGAGTTTGGTGGAGTGTGGTAGAGTGTGGTGGAGTGTGGTAGAGTG